TTCCTCCCTCTCTATGCCGTTACTGGTGGTCTAATTTAATCCCCCTAGTAGGCAAACTTCGTCACCATGTCTGATACGCGGTGTAACTTTGTGCGACCACATTTTACTTTTATTAACGACGAATGTTTGACAACAAAGCTGTAGAGGTCACACCAGGCAGCTTGTTGATGGGATGTGCGATGCATTCCAGGTAGCAGCTATCTGTGGACACCGCTAACAGTCATGCCAAGTTCGTCTGATATCCACTACTTTCGTTACTTAAATTTAGGAGTAAAGTGTGAGTTAACCGTTGTTAGCTAGCCGTTTTGAAGTTGCCATTTATTTTGAGAAGGCCCGTTTATTTCAAACTTTCTTTTGTCATTTTGTTTTGTCATTCTAAATCAAGAAAGATGATCAGTTTGGCACCAACAATGAAGGCGAATGCAAATTTGTAAAACGAAACTCAGTTCATTATCCACATGGACATATTCTTTTTCAAGGCATATACATTCCAATTTTCCTGTATTATTTGGCCGCTTCTCTTTGCCCAATGTGAGGTCATGTTCGGTGATTCGCATTTTCACACACATTTTGAGATACACGCACATCTGGCTTCTGACTTGCTTTGGTATATGCTTTACTACTTGTGATGATACCCGGTGACCTAAAAAAGTCGTTTGTATTTTCAGCATAACTCACTACCGGTAGCATGTCCAACCTTTTTGGTCCTATTAAAAAAGGAATGCCATTTTTCATGCATGCGCCAAGGGGTACAGGCAAAATTGAGTCAGTTCTTTGGTGTATTGTCATCCACTTTGACTTCTGCTATTTCGGCCTGATGAGATTTTGGCTCGTAATCCTCGTGAACAGAGCAAAAGGTAATACCGAAATAACTGGAGATTCTCGGGCAATTTGTCTGTAGCACTTGGAGAAGTCATGACAAAGCTGAGTATTGACTAGAATGGATCCAAAGTACGTGCTTCTGATGGTTAATCGTCTAGCAATGAATTTATGACATTTGGAAATAACCTTCATCCTTGAATGGAGTAGACAACTACGCCTTGCCCTTGACAGGTGAGTTCTAGATTTACGTGATATGGACAAATTTCACCATTGTATTGATCTCATATGGATTGCAGAAATTCTTCTACAACTGCCTCAAATGGGAAGAAGAAGAATGGAAACTACGCTTTTAACTCAAACTTTTGTTCGGCATCGTTTGAGGAACGGCGATTTAAATTTTAATTTTTAACCACTCGATGTGCTAGTCAAAATTTTGCCTCTCCTGTATAAGTGCTACTTGTTGTGCTTCGGATCGTGGGCTTCTCATCCACCTAGCACAACATCGCTAACCTTTTGTAGAGGAAAAGTGCAAACTGGTTTTTGTATCCCATCGCATTTTTCACTCAACTCTATTAAAGCCTATAAGTCTAGCTAGAATCTCATCAAAATTTCTGGTAGAGTCAGTGACGGAGAAGCCCGTGCAAATACGAAAACAGTTTCATCTAGTCCTGTTACCGCACTTTATGCTCCTATTGACACCGTCTGGGGCACTTCTTATTATCACACTTATCTGTCTACAGTCACAGGGCTTTCCGATGCCATTAGCTAAAGCTTATAAGTCAGGAAAATGGGTCATGCAGAGGGGTGAGAAGACATCAGGTCTCGGCATCGTTGACGTACATCGTAAACTTACCTATCGAGTTCTCCATTTCAACAGCTGCGGCGGGTATTCACTGCCAACAACTGGTTGGAATTACAAGATTAGCCTGTTTCATAAGACTATTTGCCGAGAAACAGGACTGTTCACAGAGCTAACGTTCCGTTACCTTCTTCCTTGTTGCACCATTCCCGTTTAACGGATTACCATCACTCTATCTGATCTCCAGCCAGTACTTCTCATTACATTAATGCTTTTGCGACGTATCCCCAAATTGTCTGGCCTAGTCTACTTTCAACCATTCATCGTCTCGTTGCCAAACGCAAAATCGGCAGCTGACCTGAGAGTCCCTTTAGTGCGAGTCTGCGCATTTAATCATTTACCATGGGTGCCTTAATTTTGTGAATTAAAATTACGGAGTTTGGCCAACGAAATTTGGACCGTTATTCATTTGAATAAGGTCTTTTGAATAATGTCATCACCGTAGCACTTAATGTATTTCCGAAGAGGCCACAGTCTGTAAAAACCTAAATTCATAGTGTTGAAGAAAATGATTTAAAGGGAAATCAGGCCAAAAATTTGGTAAATGACTCCAGCCGCTTTGTTAAGCAAACTGTTTCGACTAATGTTTGGAAGGTACACCGAAACGTGATCTCTTCCAGTTTAGATGATTTCAGCACTTGTTGTGTAATCTAAAACCGGTTTCCCTTTCGGGTCTGATTTAAGCAAGTTTCATTTGAGAGTTGCAGGGAAAGATTTATTTACTTCCCATAGTAAGCACCCTTAGTAATGGCGTCATATTAGGAAATAAATAAATAAGCCTTTCGTCTATTTTGCAATTCCCCTTCCTTTGCAAGTCAGTTGCATATTGCTTCATTTAGGATGTAGATCTGAAAAGACTTCTAAACTTAGCTAATTTTTATTTGGCTAGGTGGTATTAAAGGTTGCTTGCCACTAAACGGCGAGTCTGACCAGGTGAGGTCTGAGGTAGCTAAAGTCTGCCCAGCTCTCAACATCTTACTATCTAATGCTTCCACTCCTTGAGGCGGTCGAATGTTTGCCATAGAAGCTGCCCCTTGAAGATCTTAAAAGCCCCACACAACATCCAAAACTCTTCATCGCATAAAAACAAGCACAAGTCAAGTTGAAAACATCAAGTCTGAAAGATGCTTATTCATCTGTAGCAGGTGGTGGAACACTACCGCATCAGGAAACAGGAGATATCCACTCTCTTCTATAACAAAAAGGTCTGTGTAAATATCACAACAGAGCTGTCATGTATTGTGCCAGCCCTCATCATTATTCAGTGTCCTTCCGCCTATGATACGTGCTCTCTTGTGACACTGTCAACACGTGTCCTAACGCTAACATTTTATCAAAACCATGAAAACAACTGGTGCAGATGTCATTCAGTAAAATAGTCTTTGACCGTAGAGTAGCCGGATTGATATTGAGTGTCGAGACTAGGACTATTCCACTGTTTTAGCGGATTACTTTCAGTAGGAAAAGCATGTGGCAGTGAGAGGTAATACGTCATTATGTCATTGGAGGTCAAGGAACCCAATTGCTGAGACATCCCACACACCCAGATTTGTCATGGGATGTAAGTCCTGGAGACGTTTACCTCCACAGCACTAAAGCCATCCCGAATTTTGCGGAAGGTGCCTCCTCAAACTTTAAGACGATAAAGCTGAAACAGGATGCTGAACGCAGTTTATCAGAGGTATGCTGTCTCCCTGCTCCACGTAAATGATTCGTTTGACTCTCCACATGGGTCACAGTCGTTTGCTGGGCTAGGACTAAAATAGAAGAAACGGATGAGGAGAATGCAGGTTTCATAGTTCTTAAACGAGCTTTATGGATTCCAGATGATGCGACTTGTGCAAACCCCACGATTTGGATTATTCACAAAATGTTTCACAATACACTTGAATGACATTCCTGTCTTCGTTAGGGATATTCGAGAGCACAACGCCAAATTGAGATTGGATTCAGAGTCACACCTGCGTCTCGTGGACAGTCCAGCACCAAAGAAATGCCTGTTCCTGCGACAGCCGGTCAACGGTCTGAGATGAACCGTCTTGCTGGACGGGATGGCACTTACTGAAGTCTGCACAAAGCAAGTGAGTGCCTGGCTAACACCAACCACTCAAACGAAACTTCGCAGTTTCGTAGACCTCTCGGGTTGCTGTAGGTGTTGGATTGAACGCTTTGCCAAGATCAAGCGCTTTTTGCCGCAACTAACGGAAAAGCAGGTAAAGGAATAATTCAACTGCCAGAATGAGCACAATAAATCATGCAAATAAGCAGCGGATAGTGTACATTTGAGTGCAGAAAACTTGTGTTTGCACTTATTTCGCTTTATCGCAATTTGATGTAGTAAATTCCCTTCTTCAGCCGGCACTGCAGCCACTGATGCACATATACAAACAGTTACAGTACCACTGCTATCATTTGAGGGTAAAGTTTCATTCAAGGGATGGTCCGATTTCTAACGTCTTTTACAATAAAATTTTGGCGCAATTTTAACTCAACTAGGCTCATTTAGTAAAAAGTCATAAAAAACACCACTTTTGGCAACTGGATTCGTTAATTTTTGATACACGCTTTTAAAGAAATTGACCAAATCCACATTATATGCAGAGTAACCACTCATTAAGAAAAGACACAAAACTTACGACCAACGAAATCCAAAACAATCAATCGAATCAAAATTTTTAGTTCAATTTGGAAGCAAAGAGATTTTGATTAAAGAAAATTAATAATGCCAATGGTCATCAGAAGGCATACAAAGCGGCCAATATTGGTCAAAAAAGGATACTAGACGATCGTCCAAATCTCAAATTCGACAACAGTTGAGAAGGCTGTAAGTAGCTTAAGAAAAGTCTTAGCGATTGCTATGGCCATCGGAAATTATTCACCAGAATAACGCAAGGTCAGAAGTCTTTCGGAGGCACGTCAATGAGACCTGATAGGTCAAGCCAAGCCAGTCAAACCAAGAAAAGGTCACATTACGATCCTTCAAACGTCACATTCGTATGCACTTTGAAGCCAGCACATGAGTTTAGGTAAATCTACTGAACTTAGCTGATGTGAAAGGAAAAAAATTTCTCTTAGTTTGGTTTGTGTTTTTTTTTAATGTTTAAATGCGATTTATTTTAAACGTTTGACATGTATTCAGTTGAGACGAAATTGCGCGATGTTTATCAATCTTCCTATCTACCTACCAGTCAGCCCATTGGCTTATTTATCTATCTAGCTATTATTGTGGTAGAAGACACGTGTCTAACCAGTGATTAGACTCATGGGTTGTGTCTCGCAATGAAAAAGCAAAGAAGGCAGGCTGTTTTTAGAACAAATTTGGTCTAAAAGTGGACAATGCTACTGTGCAGCGGTAGAATTGGTGAAACAAGCAGAGTGTAACCACCTGCTCGCAAGTTGTTGGTAACCTGGACTGTTTTTCATCTCCCTCGCCATTCTTGTCTCACACCCCGTCTATCCCAATGATTCACATATTCCAATGGAATTCCAAAATGTCGCTGCCTGCGTAAGCGAAAAACATGCATTAATTTAATGGAAGTAAAAGCAAATTTGCCTTACTCTATGTCGAAGAAAGCATTTTCATATTTTGAGTTTTTTTTGGCAGGTAGCCTTCCCTTGGGCCATGACTGAGGCTTTTATTCACACAGAAAGGCAAATTTCAATGGTGTGTCAGGAAATCCGAAATAGAGGCATCCAGTAGCGTCAGTAAATAAGCGGCCTCGGTTGACCTTTTTTAACGTTGTCACTCAACGTAACGAATTAAAGTGTCACTTTTGCAGCAGTGTATTTAGTAGAAGTTGAAAAGCACGGCGTTTATTTTACACATAGTAGGTTTCTAAACTCGACAATCTATCCGGTTTACGCGGTGACTACTTCGTGAGTGTCATGGTGAAATGTAAATGTGGCATTAAGTAGTTCTTTGGCAGATCTGTACCGTATTCGACATGATGTATGTGAAACTGACCCCGGATGCGAAAACATCTCTTCTAGGCAGATGTCACCCAGGAAATGATCGGCACCACTATCGATAGGGTTGGATAGGATTGGGCAGGAGGCTATAAATACAGATTTGTGGGGGATGTCTTAGATCGACAACTTGCTCTGCGACGTACTGTTGTCATCTCGATCTCTAATTTCAAATCTTTCTAAATTTATCAAATCAGTTACTTGACTGTCATGTTTGCTATGATGTCTGCTGTTAGATCTTTACAGGTGTTTTGAACAGGTACTTTGTTCACTGCTAATCTTTAGGCTTGGAAACCAGTATGTTTTGTCGATGTAGTGGCAATGGCAAAACTGTTAAAGCATTATGACGGAGATGAAATGGACTCCATTAGAGAGAGTCAAAGTAGATGGATACTCGGTCCTCGAGAACCTTGCAATCAACATTTCATTGTTATTGTCCACATGAAGTAAAGCTCCGCTTTTATTTTTTGTGTTTAAAACGCGGTCATAAATGGGCCGTGCTAATCCTCTCCAAGTTATTTTGGTAAATTTTCTTCAAATTTAACCAAGCTAATGCTCAAGGTCTTGGCTTGATTAATACGATGCAGTAGATCTGAACTGTTAGTTATTCCTCACCTCCGCCAGTAAAGTGGGTGATTGTGGCCTCCACGGGGAGACACGAGGAAAGACAGTGAGGCATGTCACATGTCTACTGCCAGTGCCTAGACGCCTCTCTTTGATGCGGGTCACACTGTGTTGCAACATACTCCCAGGCAAAGCAATTTCTACAAAGCGTTGCCGACGAGGCCTAACACAAGCGCTAGTACTTTGACTGGTTCACAAATGGGGATTTTCCTCGTGATGAAGTACATGTGATGGCACTAGGCTGATGGAAAAGCTTTCTCGTGATCGCTCTCATATTTGGAGGCAAAGTGACTGAACAAATGCAACAAGTGAACAACGTGTTTCCAATTAATCACCTACCTACAACTGCCCACTTTGCTGTTTCGTGCAGTCGCAATTCACTCTCAACCACCTCATTCCCTAATCACTAACAGACTAGATGTGGTGCTAGTGGCATTTAATCAAGTCTGCTTATTAACCGGTATCCTTTCCACCATCACAATTTGCAATGTTCGTACACTTGATTAAGATGCAGCTCTGCAATTCAACCCAGAGAATGTTCTCTTCCCCACTTCTGTGTTTACATAAGTATACATATTGGCTTTGATGTTTAATTTAATATGAAAATATGGTAATTGTGGCATTAGCATGGGGATGGACCAGTTGAGAGGAGGTGGACATAACGATAGGCCGGGCCATAAAAACTGATCGCAATGACGATGACACTTACAAATTTTTGATATGCCATCAATAATGGGATTAAATTCTTCTTATTAAAACAATGTAATTAGAAGACATTTAGTATTTGCCGAGCAGAAACATGAAAATCAGCTGGAAAGCGAATTAGTAAAGAGGTTGTATTGCAAGTTCACGCATTACTGTCGAGAGAACATTCTCTTAAGCTGCGAAGTAGCATGGCAAATGCAGACGGTGTAGAAGAGGTGAGAATGCACAATCGATGAGCCCAGTTGTTGGAATGGCTGTCACCCCATGACTGAGTGTTTGAAAATGAAGACTGTTGATGAAAGCGCGCTTTCGTGATTCGCTCGTAGTTGATGGGTATGCCATTCAAAAGCACCTCAAATCAGTCCAATTCACCAATAAGCTGCACATCTTAAGCTATATGAGGACGTAGGATGACAAAGTGTCTCTTACATCACTCCGAATGGGGAATCTACAACGCTTGTTCGCAATTCTCCTTGCCATCATCATATTTGGTAAGAATGCCTGATAGAATGACAATATGTAAGGGAAACGTTAATGATTGGGAAAATTCGACTAACATGTTGCATAACGTGATGAACAAACTATGACAATATTTTAGCACCTACTCGAAATTTCCATCATTTGTAGAAAACTTTCCAAACGAGTGCAGAGCATGGAGTAT